ATACTAATTCAATTTTTCAAGGCCGGACCTGGAATAATACTTTTTTTCATTATGCCAATCGTTACCGCAGTGTGAACAAAGAACATATTATGAGTACATGAAAAAATGGGTAGAATCAATAAATCACCCTGTCTCTTCGTTATAAAGAATGATAGACCCATGAAATATAGATTATTCCATCTATACCCTTACAGTATGCGCATTCTCCAATCACCCTGTATAGATATTCAGTAGCCACCAACAGAATTATTTTGATCCAACCCTTAATAGGGGCAATTTATTTTTGCTGTTTCTCAAAAATTCTGATTCTTGTTGGCCGAGCATTTCTGGTTCGAATATTTCTTTCAAATTATTTCATCATCTCATTTTCATCTTCACAGAAACCCATATTTCTTTCGAAATTCTATGCAATTAACATATGACAGAACGTTTCATTGATGACAACTTGCGTATGTGTTGTTTTTCTTCATGGCAATTGCGCTTTGGTGGAATCAAATTAAAACTAAATCTAAAATGTTCAACCTCGAATATCTCGAAAACGGCTGAACCAAATATCAATGACCAATATATTTTTGGAATCAGGAAAAAAAGATCTTGAATTTTTTCTAAAAATATATAGGGTGTTCCATTGAAAACAACGAAGTTGGTACCCATTTCTTATATCAGCGATATTCATTCGTTTCATCTGATATAATTTTCTGGAGGTTTAGAACAAACCCTACAACTTTTGCATTCGAAGTTTTTCTCTATCTTCAATGATCAACCCTGTAGAAGCTGTTTAAATATACGGAATGACCCTGTACACTCCCCCATCTGCAAAAATCGAGGCAAAAATGAATATTCATAATTTTGGTCAGCAAATCACACACGCCCTTTCGGATACAGTCTACGCGCCACTGTCTAGCGACGGAGCCATCTCGATGCCCTTTTTTCCCCGACATCGAATGGCCACCCCTCCCTTTCCGCAACCCCCATCGTGTGCACCCTCCGGAACGCCGAATCGAGCACAAAGCCGAATTTATCGCTCTCCTTTCACGTCTCGAAATGAGAAATGAGAGCAACCGGCGAACATCCGAGGGTGGATTATAATTGGCCCGTTTTTAAGTGGTAGGAACGGCATAGGGCTATTATTCATTTCGCCATCCCTTATTCATGGGGAAAAAACAATGGATGCCCTTCAGGGAGAGCAAGCGGCTTCTTTGTCGAATCGTTTCTATCGATTGGATTAAAAAAACGCGATTGCTTTGGACCAGTCTTCTGCAACCCAATCCAAATTGCTGCAATTTCGTAACTTCATTTTGATGTGGGTCAGGAACTGACAGGATATTACAAATTTGAGGCTCCACTCAAGGAAAATGATTATTATAGACCGGTAGGCGAAGAAGAATAAATTCAAAAAGTTTCAAATTGAGAACTCATTCTTAGCCACCCTGTAAAATTTTAGAGCATAAAAATGAATCTAACATATCACACATCTGTCTATAAAATGGCACTATAATTACCTCCTAGATCCTAGATTTCCATTCCGAAGATAGTGATTTTTCTAGTACCTATGCATCTACAGTATTTGAACAAAAAAGTATAAATTTCAAGTGATTAAGACATCATCAATAATATTCAAGGGGTATTTGGAGGTCACTGAGATGCTTGTAAATATGTGCTAATATAATTATGATTATAACAAAATTTGTTTCTCGTCGCAGACCCGGTTGTCTAGCTTACTTCCATTTTTTAATGGTATGTTTCTAGCTATTATACCCGAGCAATCGGACTTTGACGAAATAATGCTTCACCCTGTATAGACAGAAGCTTTCATGCTCACCCTGTATAGAGAGAAGCTTTCATGCTCGATTTACTGATAAAAATGTTCCAAAACCTAACTACCTAATGCATTGCTCAACAAAAATGAAGTTCGCCATCAATTATTCACCACCCTTGTAGGTAGTAAGTAGGTTCTTACCTAAAAACTGTTAATTTACTTTTCCGTCAACTTCGTATCAACAAGTTTAATTAATGTACAGAAAATTGATCGTTAATGACCCCTATTATGTATCAATTTCTGTATTGATGAACGATTATGAAATAGGCAACCAAACATACACAGCGTCGTTTCACTGTTGGAATTTTACGTTAGAGGCTGAGCTTTTCAAAGTGGCTGAAGCAATTATTTTAACCCCTTCTTCAACACTAAAGGAAATGTACCTATATCTTGCATCTTGATAATTTTGACGAAAATCAAATGTCAGCGACAAGTTGGCTTTCATGGCTACATGGTGATTGTTGAGGCCACTTTACAATTAGCAATTTGTCTTGCATGCATCAATGAAAATTGCAGGATTTGTTGTGTACGCGATAATAAGTGCACGGTGTTTTACAGTTGGCAAGACATTGCTGCAATTTCTCAAATGACTTTTGAAACCAATTATTGCCAACCTTGGAACATAATGTTGTGATGTTGATTTTTGTTGACTGAAAAAATAAAATGAATTCTATTGTAAAAAAACAAATTGTTAATATTAGCCATATATATATTCACCAGATTGACCAGAGTCAAACTTATAAGTTAGGAGGGAAATAGTTATCTATTTCACTTAAATAATCCCTAGAATTGCAGGTGCAATGCAATAAAAATAGGTCCAGACCCATTCTGTGCAATGCAAGAAAAATTGCAACAGCTGATCGAAATAACAATCTATGCGCATGCTCGCAATTTGAAATTGGTGCAATTTTCATTGCATGCAAGAGAAATTGCCAACTGTAAAGCGGCCTTTAGTGGGTATGAGGAATATTATTTTTTCACTTCAAAATTTTTCGTTTTTTCTGCGCCATTGGTTCGTGATTTTCTCGAAAATGTGGAAATAGTTTTTCTTCTACACCAGAGGATGTTTCCTTATTCTTACCTTCGTTCATCGCCATATCCATTAATTGAAGATCCTCGTCGTTGAGTATGGAAGAAAGAAAGCCATCGGTTTGATTCATCTCTGACGAGCCGTTCTGCAAAGAAGAAGATTAATTGTTATTCTGGATGTCAGGCGGGCCGCCAACATCAAAAATACGCCGATATACACAAGACAGAGTTTATGACAAAGTATTCGGTAGCGTCTGTAGGGAATGCAGGTCGATTCTCTATTTCTTGGGAAAAAGAAATTCACAGGGCGTTACGAGGGAATGCAAGAAACAATAAGTACAGCCAACAAGCTGATTTCAATCTTATCAATTTGATTCGAAATGTAGGTACCATTTGTTAACAATGTTCGATTCATAATTATACTGAGTGTACCTAAATATTATGTTCCTCGGCTCACTATTGTGAACTAAAAGCTCAATATCAATTGATTCTCTGCATGATGACTGATGACTCAGTAGAAGGTTTCATAATGGCAAATTCCTGTCGGGTCGATGACTGACAAATCAAGATTTCGAAATCATACTCATGGTTATTGAGTAATATCAATGGATGTCTTATACAGTGTTTCGAATGCACCTCAGAATCGAGGGGTCAAATCAGTTTTCATCTTTCGTACACATTAATTCACTAGACTATTTCGAATATTCAGCAAGCGGTTATCTAGTAATTGATCGAAAAAACGCTTTCATTTTCAATTCGAATAGCCTTTATCTTGAAAATGATAATATATACTATGTGTGCTATTACAACCCGCGATACTTTCCTACTTCGGAAACCGTTGACCAATTGTGAAAAACAATTTTTTTTTAATATAGTAGGTACCTACCTTCTCAACTTCAATGGTCTGTATCTCGAAAACAGAAGAGTCTAGACATGTGTTCATAGGAACATTTAGTCCCAAAATAAGCCAAGAAATTACGTCCTTCGATATAGACATGGCATTTAGGAATATCCCTCTATACAGGGTGAAGGTGATAGTACGTTAAAAAATAAGTATATTTTGATAGATAAGCTTATTGCTCAAAATGCATATACCCTTCCACAATTGATAAAATCAAAATAATTTTTTCGCATAACTTCTAAACGGTGAAAGCCACCAGATTGAGATTATCTGCATAAATATATATATCTTGTTGAAAAACATTTTTCTGATACACCTTAACATTAATAATATCGTTATAATGGGTTTTCCAGAGGGTGGGGGTCATAATTTTTTAGAGACAACTAGTATTCGTTTTGGCAAAAAAATAGGAGCATTTGATAAAGGGATGAAAATTACATAAAAAAGTTAAAATACGAAAAATTGAACCCTTTTTGAGTTTTTTGTTGCTGTGACTAGGTATAGTTGAATTTGTCTTGCTTCTTACACCATGCATTGCATATAGTCACATTTTTATGATTAGAGATTAGGGTTCAACACAGTTTCATAAAATACCAGAAAAAATCTTGTAGGTTTTACAATTGAAATGAATACATAATATAGGCTTCAACATTGAATTTCACAGGACTAGACTAAGATAACGCCAATAGGTTTATTATTGCCCCAGTTAAAACATAATCAGTCTATCAAATATTTGGTTTTGATTTTGCTTTATGAAGTGTTTTATAGAATTTATCTGAAACCATCTTGTCTGGGTTGTTAGGAATGAATAGCTTCAATAAAGTTTCAATGATTTCCATAAAGCTCTCTTAAAACCTAAGCGATCTGATATTGTTACCATCGAGATTATATCTGAATGCCTAACTGTTTTACACAAATGGATTCATCAAAGTATCTCTGAAGGTCAGTCAATCAGCCTTTTCCAGTGTATTCATTTGCTCTCATATAACTCACTTAAAGTATCATTAGTGCTTTGAGGCATTTAAAATCTTACTTGGGTAATTTGTTCAAATTTAATCATGAAGCTACTATTAACCAAGACAAACAGATTACATAAAAATACTCAGATAAGTATAGGTTCCAAGCGATAGACGAAGCGCTCAAAATAAGTATATTAGCTAAACTAACCTGATACCTAGGTACTTGATTAGATTATTCAGAAAATGTAGACGGTAGAAAATGTGGGGTAAAAACAGCACTATACCTACCTCCCTACCTGCCCCTTGAAATCGAACGGAAATAAATTGGACATCTTACCTGGTAATAGACCATGTCGTGTGACGGTTCGAGTTTGTAATGGGGTGCACTTGACGATTCTCCCATTGGTTCACTGCTGTTGGTGAGGTTCATCGATGTGGCGACAGCATTGACAAGATTGGGGCCACCTGCAAACAAGATTTTTAGAGAATTTTCAGAAAACTCGATCATTTCCCACTCTCTGATCAGAGGGATAGGTTCTTTCTTATCTATGTCTTCATATATGAAGTTTTGCTACTCATTATAAAATGATAATAATTAAGCGTGACCTGACAGACTGCAGGTTAGGACCAGTGCTGCCATCGTCACGCCATGATCAAATGGAAAAAGAAAGCCATTGCTTTTTTTCACAAAGCATATTTGTATCCCTTTAGATGCCGCGGTATTCAAATCAAATACCATATTATCAGAATACTTCGAAGGTATGGTGAGAGATTTTTTTCATGCTGAAAAATAATGACATTCATAGTATGTCAACTAGACGTCACTATATAGACGTCGTCGAAGAGTAATCAAATCATTAGGACGGTTATTTTGAATCACGTTACATTGGCGTCATAATAATCGACGTCATATTAACGTCCCATATTGGTCACAAGACGTCTCTGACCAATATTGACCTGAAATCGACGTGATATAGACGTCTCTATAGACAACCGTGCAGCATACCTAAAATGAACCGACAATGCTTCTCAGGCGAAAATTTTCTTGGGTTCGATGTCAAATACCAATAAATTGATTATCTTGTTTTTCAATAGGTATGAGAGAAACTTCATATTTGATTGACTCCACTTAAAAAAAAATTACAATAACGCTTTGAGCAACTGATAATAATTAGTAAGATTAATTTGAATAAGACTATACTTATGTCAATTTTTGACATTTCGGAATGGTACTTTGAGACAAATTGATAATTTTCTTAGATACATGCAATTGAGGAAATACAGGAGGGTTAAAAAAATCATATTAGCGCCAAAGGCATAACACTTCTGGTTAAATGAACACTTAGCAGAACATATTATCTTGTATACCTATCTTCAACAGTTTTCGAGTTATTCCGATTTTTGTGAAAACATTAGAGCTGAAGATGGAATTTCAAAAGAAATACTGAAAAGTCAATCAATCAATCAATCAATCAATAACATTTATTGTATCTGAAGAGGAAACCTCATTACAAGAAAATTGGTTCGAACAAATACATAAATTATTAATATAACAGTGTTCAGATTATACATACACTGAGAAAAAGACAAAACAGAGAAATGGTTAATATCATATGATAGAGAAAACAAAAAATAAAGAAACAACAAAAAGCATGGCAGATAATATTTAAAAGGCAATCAAGAGATAATTCCAATTGAAAAGTTCTGCAGTAAGACATAATGTGGAGAAACATTAGAGGCATGCGGTTCATTCATTGATGACAAAAGACCGTAATTTCAGGATATTCATCACAATCGTAGCTAATTGTTTCAATAATTCATATGAATGAGTGTTGAGAATATCTATCAAGTCGTCAATGACTCGTAATTTAACAAATAAATCATTATTTCTCAAGCCAGAATATATAGGACAAACCAGTAAGATATGTTCCAGAGTTTCTCTTTGTTGCAGATTACATATAGAACATAGATCTTCAGTATTGATTATATACGAGGAGCCATAAAAAGTAAATTTCAATCGTGTTTTGCTACAAGTACGAATCTGGGCAACGATTCTGCTGATGTGAATTGGGCAAGGAATTTTCAAGTATTTTTGACAAGTGCTATACAGTGTTAAAGATTGATAAAGGCATGAAAAACTCGACTGATTTAAACTTGCAATGTCTTTTCTGAGTAAAATTTCTTTGTAGGAATCAATTATGTGACTTGTTAATTTTTTCGAAGGTCTAATTAAAAAAGAGTGCCATCTGTGTTCCTGCTCGGCGAATATAAAATACTCCTTGACTTGAAGGAGCCAGTTGTACTTTATATCAACGCTATCTAAGACTGCTAGTCTCATGAAGCAAATTTTAGGTAAGCGAGTATTTTCCATATCCTTCAAACTAGTAATCCATGACAAAGCTGCTTTCAGAATGATTGTACTGATTTTATATGAACCAGTCTCCAGACGGACAATATGATCCGGAGTATTCCTTGATAATGACAGTAGGCGCTTGAAAAAACCAACTTGAACTCGTTCAATCAATTCAGCATAACGCAAACCCCAAACACCAATGCCGTATGATAAGGATGATAAAACTATGGAATTGAATAATTTAATTCTGGAATCCCAGGAATTGATTTTTGTGTGACACATCAAGTCCATAACTGCACCTATTGCTCGAGTACTTTTTGCCATAATTTCCCTCGACATATCTAAGAACATTGACGAAGAGGAGAATACAGTGCCCAAATAAGTGAACTGTTTGACCACTTCGATTTGTTCATTATTGAAATAAAATCTACTCTGATAGTTGGTGTGGTATCCACCTCTGCTAAATATCATAATTTTTGTTTTAGTAGTGTTCACGTCCAGTTTATTTTCCAACGAGTATGATTCAAGAGATTCAAGTTTTTTGGTCAGATCAATTTGTGAGTCACTCAAAATAACAATATCGTCAGCATACATCAACATCAATACCTCATTTTCACCGTCAATATTCAATCCTTTCAGGCCTTTGCCATGAAAATAGTCCACGATATCGGCAATAAACAAGGAAAATAAAATTGGGCTCAATGATTCACCCTGTAGAACACCTTGAGAAATATCATAAGTTTTGGAATACTCATTGTTGACCCTAACAGACATAGTAGCCTGTTCATATAAGCTTTTGATAATACGAATGTATTTTGCGCTGAGTCCTAGATTATATAATTTTTTCCACAAAAGGGAATGGCTAACAGAGTCAAACGCCCTCTTGAAATCGACGAATGCAGCATAAATTTTACGCCCACGGAGTCTCAAATGAATTTGTATTACAGAGTTTAATACGAATATATTATCGAGACACCCTCTATCTTTTCTGAACCCTGCCTGACACTCCGGTAATAAGCTGTTCTCCTCGCACCAACTTGATAGCCTATTCAATAAAACGCATGTGAAGATTTTAGCTAAACAGTTAAGCAGTGATATACCACGATAGTTTCTAGGATCATCTTTAGCTCCCTTTTTATGAAGCATGGACAAAATAGTGGACTGCCAACTTTTTGGTATTCGTTCGGTGTTCAGGACATTGTTATATAAGGAGCATAAGTATAACTTCCAGTTCTGAGGAAGATTTTTTATGAATTCGTACGTTACTCCATCCTTGCCAGGGGCTTTCCCATTTTTACATCTGAGTAAACAAATTTCCAATTCATCTAAAGATATTGCTGAGTCTAGGTAATGATGACCTGCATCATAATACGATGTTCCTGTCACTGCCCTAGGAATGTAAATGTTATCGTAAAAAGCTTCCCACTCTGCAATTGAAATAACACAGTCCGCTTTGGCACATCTAAATGATTTTAAAGTTTTCCAGAATGCATTTTGGTTGTGAGTTTCACTGAGGATTTTTACAATGTTATTTTCATAATCAGACTTTTTCTGTTTAATCATATTTTTATAAACATGTTTCGAAGTGATGTAGTTAGTTTTATAAGGGTCTAAGAAATTATTGGCTTTGCATAGTTTCAGGCAGTGAGTGCAGTGTCTTTTTGCAAAATTACATTCTAAATCAAACCAGGGCTTATTTTTGAACACATTGGGGTTGGCGTTATGCTTTTTTGTTAGACTCAGATTTCTAGCACATGACCATATCGTTGCACAAAGGTTATTATAAGAGTCCTCAGTATCGCCTATGTAACCCACATTAGCAGAAAGTTGCATAACAGTTCTGTACAACGCGATTTTATCTTCCCTCCACTGCAGTATTTCGAAGAAGTACTCTGGAGAATTGGTTGAATTAAAAACATCATTTGTTATGAGTTCGACATATACAGGAAAATGGTCTGAAAGTGTTGCCATCTGATTCAAAACTTTTACATTATTTAGAGTTTCGATCTTATCATTATTGCAAAAAACTAAGTCAATTACACTGTTTCCTTGTTTGTCAGAGTAGGTGAAATTCGCAGGACGATCTGAGGCAATACTACCATTGATCAGTGAAAAATTATTAGCTAGCATGAAATTATACAGAATCCGTCCTCTTTTGTTCAGTGTTTTATCAAAACTCAGCCTATTTGGATACAAAATAGAGGTTTCAAGTAGTCCATCAGGGATCGCGCCAATTTCACCAACTCTGCAATTGAAATCTCCTAGTATAGTAATTATATAATCCCTAAAGTTTTCGAGAATGTTGTTCAAACTAATTTGAAAGATTTCTAGAATGTCCTCAAGGTCAATAGATGGTTTCAAGTATACGAAACATATAATAAATTTAGTATTCTGATATTTAAACAAATATATTAGCCACCAAGGAGTTGAGTCCAATAGTTGGACTGTGTAATATTTCTTGAACAATATAGCCAGACCTCCACTAGCTCGTCCTCGAGATTTTTCTTTTATAGCAGGAGCGTAAACAATATCAAAGTCAGAAATCAAGTTATTTGGAACACATACCTCACTGGTCACCCATGTTTCACAGAGGCAAAGAACATCGAATTCAGTAGACAACTCGTTGAAAAAACTGTCAAGATTGCTGTAGCCCTTCATGTTCCAGAAAATTAGAGATCCTAGTTGCAGTTTTTTGAGTTCCCGCCCAATTTGTTGGTCTTATGTCTCTGTAGTTGCTGATTCGGGGAATCGCCTTCAGAGCGGGGCCTTTTGTAATTCTCTTTGATATCACTCATAGGTACAATTGCTGGTTTGTTATTTTTATATTTGATTCTCAGATTTTCACCGTTGGCATTACGTTCATTCATCTGCTTATAGATAGCTGCAGTTTCTTCCATTTCCTTAGGCGTCTTATCTAACTTAATTTTAACTTCGGGATACTTTGTGGAAGAGAGCTTGAATTTGCGCTTGATCACAGCTACCGCATCTCTTTTATTTGATAATTCAACTTTCACAGGTCGTGGTTTGTTGTCATTTGCTTTTCCTATCCTGAAGGTATTATTTATTTGGAGTACTTCTGGTGACGTTATATCGTTCAGGATTTCTCTCACTTGCTTGTTTGCATCAACCGTTTCAGCAATACCAAAAATAATAATATTTTTTTCCCGCTCTATCCTCATTCTGACCTCATTGTACAAATCGACCTGGTCAGATGACTT